TCCCTAAAGGAGGAGATACTTGGGGAGTGTCATCGCTCCAAGTTTGCTATCCACCCCGGTAGCACAAAGATGTATAGGGACATGAAGCGTCAATACTGGTGGAGGGGAATGAAGCGAGATGTAGCCAAGTATGTGGCAAAATGTGCGGTGTGCCAGCAGGTGAAGATTGAGCATCAAAGGCCAGGAGGAGTCCTACAGTCTTTGCCTATTCCAGAGTGGAAGTGGGATCACATCACCATGGACTTCGTGTCGGGTTTACCACGGACGTCGCGCAGGCATAATGCAGTGTGGGTCATTGTGGATAGACTCACCAAGTCCGCTCATTTCTTGGGTATGAAGACCACAGACTCATTAGAGACGTTGAGCAAGCTCTATATCTGTGAGATTGTTAGGTTGCACGGAGTTCCGCTCTCCATTGTGTCGGATCGTGATTCTCGGTTTGTGGCGCGATTTTGGCAAAGTCTACAACAAGCTATGGGGACAGAGTTACATTTCAGCACAGCCTTTCATCCCCAAACGGATGGCCAATCCGAGAGGGTGATACAAATCGTGGAAGACATGTTACGAGCTTGCGCGTTGGACTTCAAGGGAAGTTGGAGTGACCATTTACCGTTGGTGGAATTTGCATACAACAACAGCTATCAGACCAGTATTGGAATGGCACCCTATGAGGCCTTGTATGGAAGACCATGTAGATCCCCGACGTGTTGGTTAGAAGCGGGCGAGAGTAGTTTGTTTGGGCCAGAAATTGTTCGAGAGACTACAGAGAAAATTCAACTCATCCGGGAGAGACTACGCACAGCACAGAGTAGACAGAAAAGCTACGCGGATCAAAGACGAAGACCATTAGAATTCAAAGAGGGGGACTATGTGTTTCTCAAAGTGTCGCCCCAGAAAGGAGTATTTAGATTCGGCAAGAAGGGAAAGTTAGCGCCAAGGTATACCGGGCCATTTGAAGTGATCAAAGTGGTGGGCAAGGCGGCATATCAGTTGCGGTTACCAGCTCAGTTATCGGGAGTACACGACGTATTCCATGTGTCCATGTTGAGGAAGTGTAAATCGGATGCAACGCCGGTTGTAGACTTAGAAGATATTGAAATTCAAGATGGAGCAACCTATGAAGAACAACCAGTGAAGATTCTCGACGCCAAGGAGAAAGTGCTTCGCAACAAAGTCATCAAATTGGTGAAAGTCTTGTGGCAACACCATGGAGTGGAAGAAGCTACATGGGAACCGGAGCTAGAAATGCGAGAGAAGTACCCACATTTGTTCGCTACTTGAGGTAAGTTTCGAGGACGAAACTTTCTTTAAGGGGGGTGGATTGTAACACCCCGCATTTTCTTTTATATATGTATATAGATATATAGTAAATAATTGTTGTAAAAATGGGGATATGTGTAGTGATGTGTGTTTGAATTTGGTAGAATGAAAAAGGGATGAACAGTGCACTGGCTGTAACATCAAGCTCGATTTCGACCTTGATGCAGTCCATATCTCTCAAAACTTAAAACATGAAATTTGTAGATCTCTCTCTTAGGATTCCATATCACCTTGAATCATCTCAATCGGAACTAGGAGGAAGGAGTTATGTCCATATTACGAAGTAGTGTCTACACTGTCCAAAAATCTGTCCGGCAGACTACCTTTCGCTAATTTCATCATAACTCTTTATTGGAAAGTCCGAATTGTGTACCGTTATTTTTGTTAGAACCCTAACTCGTATATCTTTCCAACCATATAGGTTACACCTCCTAGAAATACCTGAGTCAAATCAGTTTATTCTATGAAGTTGACCAAAAATCTGCACTATGGTGCTCCTTGGATAGTAAAGGGTTGTGCTTTCTTATTAGACCTTGAAGGTGTAAAACCCCATATGTTTACATTAATATATTAATGTACTTGTTTAGTGATTCTTCTATATGTAATGACTTAAGAATAAACCATATATATATATTAAAATCGTAAGGATATCACCTATAGTAGTTCGAAGGAATAAAATAGAAATTTTAATGTTCCAAGTGTGAATTTATTTTAGTTTTGAAATAAATCATAAAAAGCAATGTTTTTAGGTTAAAATAACATTAAAAATGAATCCGGAACGTCGAAAAACCTTAGGGTAGTCGTATGGATCAAATTGGAGATTTCTAGTGGCAAAACTGTAATTTTGGAAAAAAACTCAAAATTCAGCCCATGAACAGTGATTGTCGCGGACTGCTGTGTTTAAAACACAGAATCCAGCCCATTTCCTTCCATTTTTTCTCACATCTCTCACCCCCAAACCCCTTAGCACCCTTGGGGAAGATAGAGGAAAGGAGGAAAGGGAGAAAGGAGGTCATTAGAGCTTGGGTTTTTGGTTTGAAACTTTGATTCAAGGTAGGGGTTTTTCTTCCATGCTTGTCCATTGAGGCTAAGGCTAAAATATATATATGTTTTGACTCATACTTGTATGTATTTGCTAGGAATTCCTTGTTTCTTGGTTTTCTTGCAATTATGGCATGTCTTAAACAAAGTTAGGATTGATTACCCATGAAACTTCTTTTATAGCTTTAAAACCCTAGTTTTTGGGGAAATATGGAATTCTCTTTCTACATTTGCTCAAGCTTGGTTTTGAGAACTTTAGTGCTTTGTGTGAGTAATGAAAATGATGTGGTGGTGATCTCTTGTATTTTTCTTAATTGGTTATTTGGATTGTCGCATGATAAAATTTGGGGATTTTGATAATGGTTGCTTGTTGAGGGAAATTTGTGGATTTTATCTTGTATGTGATTGTTGGTATGAAAAGAGGATAATTATGAACCGAGGTTACTCGTAAGTATGCGGTTAAGTGTGGAATACTTGAAGGGGGGTAGAGGTTACTTGTAAGTATGCTACCTACCAAAAGAGGATATTTATGAACCGAGGTTACTTGTAAGTATGCGGTTATGTGTGGGAGACTTCAAGGGGGGTAGAGGTTACTTGTAAGTATGCTACCTACCTAGAAGGACATCTAACGACCGTGGTTACTTGTAAATATGCGGTTATGGGAAACAAAGACTTGAAGGGGGTGGAGTTTACTTTTAAGTATGCCACCTGCCAAAGGAAATATAATAATCGATGGTGGAATAAGCGTTCATTTTTGTATTATGGTGTTACTATTGCATTTCCCACAAGAGCTTGTGGAGGTATGAGACTCTACAAGAACTTGTTGGAAATGGTTATGGTTGCTCATTGTGACTTGGGTTTACTGTTCATTTAAATTATTGCGAATGTTTAAACTTGAGATCTGTTTCAAATGTCACGGTTTTACTTCAAATGTTATATGATATTTTGGAAAATAAGACCGAACTGTTTTACTTGTTTTCTAAACCTTGTATGAGTATGGAAGGAATGTTGCTACAGAGCTTAGTGCTCATCCCTTACAAATAATATCTTTTCAGATTTCGTCTATGAGGAGGAGTTACAAGTAGATGAACCAGTGCATGGGGAAGCTCCCCTAGAGGGGAACGGGGGTCCTGAACTGGATGCCTAGAGTTATATTTCTTTTGTACTAGACTAGAGAGTTTATTTTGAAATCATGTAAAGTCTAGTATTTTGTTATTTCACTGCAAGTGTAATTTAATTCTTTTGGAAATATATTTGTCATACTTGGCCTATTCTTTTGGGATGACATTGTGGATATGACATATGATGAATGAAAGTTTATTTTATGATGGATAAATAGACCCGGTGTGGTCAATAGTTATGCATATGTGGACCCGGTGTGGTCAATTGTAATATAATTGTACAGGTTGTGTTTTGGGTAAAGCTCCCCGTACAAAGGAGACTCTGCCCAAATTTCGTTAAAATATGAATGGTTGATGAATGAACTTTCGTCGTGATGAATTTACGTAATGCTCTCATGGGGTGAATGGTTTTTAAAATGTAATGTCACCCAAGGGGGTTTTTGGGGCGTTACATGAGTTGTCTTGTCTTGATATTAGTTATGGATGATAAACCAAAGATAATGACCATTATCTATTGACTTCACCATTAGTATTTTCTAATTTTAACATAGGTCAATTTGGATTTGTAATTTTACTAATGTGTTTCACAATCTCAAATATCCACGTGCAACAACTAATATAATTAGATGTGTAAATACTAAAAAATAACAATCTTGTAATGAATCTCCATTATAAACAAAAGAGGAAATGTCCAAAGGATCCGGGGAAATAACTAAAAAAAATAACAAATTAGGTACTTAGAAGGATACAATAGATCAATAATTAAGTTTGGTAATAATTAAAATAAGAATTAATTATTCGATGAATAATTTATTATTCAATTTAATTACACATATAATTTAATTTTTTATAAAAAAATATTATTTAAATATATTCACGTGTAATGAATATCGTGCGTTGTTAGTATTATCAAATGAAAGGATATGCTAAAAAAAGACTTGGATACAAAAGTTTAGTTAGTAATTTCACATCTCAAATAGTGAAAAAATAATTTTTGAACAAATGTATTATGTTATTTATAATAGTAATAACTTGTTCTTGAAAACACTCTATAATATCAAAATTTGAGTATATTATATTTTAAATAATAATATATTTATATTTATTTTTTAATTATTTAATTTAAATTTCAAATTCATAGAGATAAAATAAGAAAGGTAAGAAAGAGAGAATAGAGGAGTTAATATGAATTAGTGAGGTTGTATATTAGAAAGTGTGTTGGTTGAATTATGACATTGAGCCCTGCATAGAAGGTAGTATTTTTAGGCTGGTACAAAATATTTTGAGAAAGAATTTTATGATCAAAATAGAAAAAAACTAGATTGATCTTAACTATTATTATGTTTTTTGTCTGGGAAAGCTCGGAGAACTTCCCTAGAAAAAGCTTTCACGGAAAGGAAAAGCAACACCAACGCAGCATAACACCAAAAACAAAACTTCTGCTCATTGTCCCCCTTCTCCGTTGTACTTTTAAACCCTCTCTCTCTCTCTCTGTTTGAGCCCTCTCAGCCTGGGTGACAAGCAGTGATGGAGGACAGTAGTGGCATTGCAAACAATGTGGCAAGAGCCGTTGTGGCTGCCCTAGACTGGAACTCCCCTCCAGATGCTCGCAAAGCCGCCCATTCTTACTTAGAATCCGTAATATACCTCTCTCTCTCTCTCTCTCTCTCTCACACACACACACACACGCACAATCTTGCATGTATTCTTATAATTCGTATACTGCCAGATTTACCTCTCCACTTTTCTAATAATGTCATCTTCTCTCAATTTTCAATCTGCAAAATTATACAGGAATAGGCATTAAAGACGTTGTTCCTCTCTGCCTATCTCTGCTCCTCCCCTCTCTATATAAATAATAACAGTAATGATAAATAATTGAAATATGATTGATTATGACAATATTGATTATTAAAGTTGTAAGCTTTGTGTTGTTTATATGGTTTTGTAAGGATTTTAGTTTAAACAAATGTGAGGTCAGAGAGTGCAGATCGATTTGTTTCAGTATATGTAAGGAGTTTTTAGGCCAAATGGGCTCTCTAAAGTTGTAAAACCACCCCTATTTTAGAGTGAATTTGGAGGAGTTTACAAAAGGTGAATGTGGGATTCATTTCTTAGTACTTGGAATGTTGTTTGTATTTCATCATTTAACACTGAATTATGGTCTTAATGCAAATGGTAAACAGGGTTACAACTTGCAAATGACAGAAAATCTGTTAGATTATATGCTTTGATAATCAAAACCCGAACTTTCATCAAGATTGTTTTATTGCAAGCGGAATTATAATATTTGAAAAATATATTTTATTTGGGGTATTCTCACCCAACTTTTTTTTTCTTTGCATGTATAATTCATATTTATTTCACTACCAACAAGTATATTAAATTTCCCATCATATGGAACTTGGTATTCAACTTGCGCTGTTTTGAGTGGACTGACCATTTATTTAAGTGTGGAAAAATTTATCATTACTAAGAAGCTTTATTTGCACTTATGGCTTCTCCTTGATATGTGTTTTGCTTTTATTTCTTTTGAGGATATTTTGTCCTCCACATTGTATTTTGTTTCTTAATTCACTTCTCTAATAAAATTATTCTTGTTATCTAAAAAAAGTTAAACATTACTCTAAGAAGGTAAAACTCATTATTTTTAATTGAATTGTGCCAAACTGATGCCGATTCGAATACCCATTATTTGCTAGAATGTCATGTTAACATTTTGTGGAAACTTTGTGTTTATCTGAGGGGATTGGATGTAGGAACAAACAATTGGGATTAACTTTTGTCACAAAGGAGCTTATGAGAGAGAGAGAGAGAGAGAAAATTGGGTTATGATAGCTCCAAAAACTGTGAAGAGGTTCTTGGTTCCTTAACTGGGTTTCTTTATCTTCTATTGGTAAGTTAGGAAGTATCATTGTCTTGTGGGATGACAGAACTGTTTCTGTGGAAGAGTCACTTGAAGGGGAGCTTACACTTTCAGTTAACTTAAAAATTAGGGATGGTTTTGATTGGTGGTTAACTAGAGTTTATGGTCCTAACTACTTGAGGGAGAGGAAATTATTGTGCGAAGAATTGGTGGGTTTGTTGGCCCGTTTAGTCCAAGATGGTGTATAAATGCAGACTTTAATGTGGTAAGATACTCGTTTGAAAAATTGGCTGGGGGAGGATAATTAGGAGTATGAGGGATTTTGATATTTTCATTAGGGAAACTTGACTAAAAGATTGTTCCTTATCTAGTTGCCCTTTCACTTGTTCTAATCTTAGAGAAAACCTAATTTGTAATAGATTGAATGTGTTTCTTTTTCCGATTGATGAGAGAGAGAGAGAGAGAGAGAGAGAGAGAGAGAGAGAGAGAGAGAGAGAGAGAAACATATGTTGAAGTAACCAGAGCTGCCTGAAATCGCCACATCTGCCGATCCATGTGAGAGAGAGCGCACTTGCTAGCTGATACATGTGAGAGAGAGAGAGAGAGAGGTATAAAATTTGGGGAGTTAATATTAGTCCTTGAATTAAATTTAGAGTATAATTTAAAACGATCTGAATCGCGAAAAGTAAAACTTATTTTTATATTTTTGGGATTTGAAATGCCTTGCACTTTATTATATTGGTTATAATTTCAGTGGCAAAAATTAATATTATACTGTATATTAGTACTAATCATTGTTTTTTAACCTATTAAAGTACTAGTTTTGATCCTCATAACATGTTGTAGGATGCATGCGACTATATAGTTGGAGAAATATTCTCAATTAAATATTGTATATGTCCTTTTTTTCTACTTTAACATATTTCTTTAAATTATGTAGCCCCCATGACCACAATGACCTGAAGATTTAGTATGTTATCTAATTTGAAGTCTTTCATCTTTATTACTTTTGAATATTATGAGCAATGCAAAACACCTGTTTGCTGTTTATATTATATTTTGCAGGTACAAACAGGGGATGTACATGTCTTGGCAAATACATCATTTCTTTTAGTTAAGAAAGATTGCTCTTCTGAAATTCGGTTGCATGCTTTTAAAATGCTCCAGGTATGTGCCCATACTATTTTGCTTATTTGTTTTCTGTTTCTAGAGAAGAATGACTTGATGGAATTCTTTATTCATTCTTGTGATGAGTCTTGATCCATTTCCCAGGTAACTTAGTTTGAAACATCTGCACGTGTGCTTTCTACGAATTTATATAGTTACAGTGTATGTGTGTGATGGTGGAAAATGTTTACTTCTGATTTCTGCTAATTGTAGTAACAGTATCTCATGTGGCAAGATTAAATCCAGAAGGAAAAGAGAGAGAGAGAGAGAGAGAGAGAGAGAGAGAGAGAGAGATGCTTGTGCAAGACTGCGGTGCAAACTTTTGACTTGACATTAACAAGGAGACATACACATATTGACCATACTAGCGTGTGGTTGTGGAAAAATCCCAAGGGGCAGACAAGATAGCCAGGAGTCCAATTAAAAAATTTGGAAGGCTTGAGTTCGACTCTTTCACTTTTATTTTCCCAACGGGATTATCTGTGTGGTTACCAAGTGCGTGTTTCATGGAGGAACTGCATGGGTCTGGGAGGATTAGATAGGTGCTATAAGCGGCCAATCTTCGTATGAGCAAAAATAAAAAAGCATAATCAAAATTAGGCATGCAATTTTTTTTTAACGGAGTTTTGTTTCTTTAATTTCATCAGCTTAATAGTTTGATCTGATCATTTTTCAAAGGCCATATTTCTTGGGTTCGAGGCTTTCACTTCGAGCTTTCCGAAGGGAATTATTTCTATAATTACTTGGTGCATGTAGCATGGAGGAACTGCATGGACTTGAAGTGGGTACTATGAGAGGCTGGGTACCTCCAAGAGAGAGAGAGAGAGAGAGAGAGAGAGAAAGTGCAGTTGAGGGAGTTTTATCATATCTAGTCTTGTGAGGGGAAAAAAGAAATTCTTGATGAATTTATCGTTTTGCTGATGCCTTTAGGATTTATTTTAACAAAGTATGCCCTTGTTTGCTCTGATTTTACTGGTAAAGCTTGAATTTTATATGCAATTAAGAATCTAGTGCGGAATGATAGGCACTTATGCTGCCCTTCCACTTTGATAATTGAATAGATTGATTATCCTTGAAACCCCTTCTTTCTATCACCTTCTGCACCAAGGCCATGTAAACTTCAAATTGGATTGCTCGAGTCTGGACTGCCACTCTCTTTCTTTCTGCAGCATTTAGTGCGGTTCCGCTGGGATGACTTAAGCCCTGCAGAACGGAGAAACTTTGCAAATGTTGCTGTGGATTTGATGTCTGAAATTGCAATCCCTTCTGAGGAATGGGCCTTGAAAAGTCAGACCGCGGCTCTCGTTGCTGAGGTTTATCCTTATTTCCTCTTGATTTTTGTTGAAATATGGAACACTCCTTTGTGGTTCTAGGTACTTAATTGTTTATTTTATGACAGATAGTTAGGAGAGAAGGCTTAAATCTATGGCAGGAGCTTCTTCCCTCTCTAGTTTCACTTTCCAACAACGGTCCTATACAAGTAAATATCATTCCTTTCTGTTTAGTACAGTTGTTTCACTTGATAAAAACTCTGAAAATCCACTTGAGTTATTTAACCTGGTCCGTCTTTTCATTTAAGGCTGAGTTGGTCTCAATGATGTTGCGATGGCTTCCAGAAGATATCACTGTTCATAATGAGGATTTAGAAGGTCTGTAGCAGGCAGCCATGAGAAGTTTTTTTGCTTTTGTACTCATTTTTATTTATATTTACATCAGTTGCTAATTTATGTTTAATTTAAACGGAACTTAGAAACTCAATTTTTTTTCATCTTATCTATTTTTCTTTCTTTCTTATTTTTCCTTTGGGGTGAGGGGATGGAATAAACTTTTACATGTAGGGTTTTTTAGAACTTAGTGAAAGAAAAAAAAATTTTAGAAGAGGGAAGAGCAAATCCCCAATGGGTTCTGGAGTATATATATCTATCATTTTAAGCTTGTTACATAACAATGAAAATTGCCATTTTCTTAGAGTTTTAGTGAACGCATCATTTGACTATGCACAATATACGTTTACAGTAGTAATTTATTTACTCATAACTAAATCCTGCAATAATGAAAATCTACTTCATGTTCTTTTTTCTTGCATGAAAACAGGGTTAGAAGAAAATTGTATCGAGGCTTGTTACATTCTCGTTGGTTTATTACTTGAGATACCTATCTCCTTATAAAAGGGGATTTTACCCATATCATCTCGCTTGGTAGAGTTGTAGCTCTATACTCAGTTTCAACACCCATTTTATTTCTTATTCTTCCAAGTAACCAAATTCTCACCAACAAAAGTATGGTAACCAGAAATGAACCTTTTATCCATACAATCTCCAGCCTAATCTGCAACAAAGAAACCAACCAAATCAAATGGACTAGAAGATTTTGACATTGTTCCCTTTCCGGTGCACTTGTAAGAAACCTCAAAATTTGTCATGCAACAACTCAATGTCATAATTTTGGATTTTGCGTAAATTGAATAACAACAACAAATGTGATATCAGGTTGAGTCACTCTCAAGTATATGAGCTTACCAACCATCCGTCTGAATCTTCCTGGCCATTAAATTTCTCACACACTCTCACTTTCGAACTTTATGTTTGGATTGTCAAGTGGCTTTGGTCTCAACATACTAGTGTCCTCTTGAATGATTGAACCATACTAACTATGACAAACAAACACAGTGCAACCTGATACAGCCCTCTTCATAGTTTTACTTAACAAATAAAGCGAATCGAAGAGAACCAATCTCCTGAGGGCTTTGGCGAGAAGCGAAGTGAGCGCTTTATTGAAGCAAAGTGAACAATATAAAAAATAAGCAAATATTTTAGTTTGATATTTTGATTGGTTCTAAATATTCAAGTTTTAACTTTACAAATACAAAATATGTAAATGCAATCAAAATAATAAACATCAACATATTTTAAATAGAAAAGATATTAAATATTAAACATTATTGCATTTAAAAATAGTCAATTGATATAATCACGACATCTAAATGTAAAGCTAGCAAATGTTGGTTCGATTTCCACTATGATTGATTAATATTAACACTAAACAGGGCACTCAAATATTGATTAATCAAATAGAGCATATAGAAAATTGATTAATCAATTTGATTGACCAAACAAATTGATTAACAAGTGCATTCACATCAAAACATAGCATTTAATATCATCTCATTATAATAAGATAGATTGTCATATGATACTGTTAGATGAATCAATCAAATTATATATATATATATATATATATATATATATATATATATATGTATATGTATATGTATATGTATATAACATCATCTCTCCTAGAGTTTGGTTAATGTTAAGAAAGAAGAAGAAGGATTTTTTTTTTTGGGGGGGGGAGGAGGAGAAAATAAAAAAATTCTCAGGCATTCGCTTTTCTCGTCTGTCTCACTTCTTCGCTTAGGCTCGCTTTTTTCTCGCTTCGCTAGGATGATCAAGGCGACCAAGGCTCGCTTCGCTTTACTGCTCGCTTTTTACAACACTGCCTCGTTATACTAAAATCAACATTTTGTACTAAACTTATCAAACCAAACCTTTGAAGACTGCTTGGGGCCCATAAATAGCCTTCTTGAGCCGACAAACTTTCTCACACCTCCCTTAACCACAGTCCAGAGGTTATTCTATATACAACTCTTCTTGCAAGCTATCATATAAACAAACATTCTTGATGTCTAACAATGAAATTGCCAACTCTTGACAACAATAGACACTCACACTTGAATACAATTAAGACAAGCAACAAACTAGCAGATATTAGAGAAATTACCCTTTTTGCCACCAACTTGGCCCTTTAAATGCTCAACAGTTCTATTAGGTTATGTTCCACATCATATATTCATTTACAACCAACCTCTTTTTACCAAATGAGGTAATAAGCTTCCATGTGTGATTTTTGTGTAAAATTGTCACCTCCTCGTTCATGGCACATTTCTAACCGGGGGAAGGGGAGGACTATGCCTGAGCAAGAGATCTTGGAACGCCACAGGAACAATAATTCAAAGATAAATGAGGTGAGGATATAACATTGTGAATAAGATAAGCATTACAAAAATCTATCTTTCCTAAGAGCTGTAGGTAGATCCTTAGAGGATGAGGATTGAGCTAACTAAGGACGTATTGTGTGTAAGTGGCCTCTAAAATATTTGGTTCTTCCTCTCGGTGCTAATCTATCACATCTATTTTTTTGGGAGCCAGTTATTGGAAAAGGGGAAAAGTTTCGATTTGTGAAAGAAGACTTCTAATTTGAAAGGAGGAAGGCAAAGTTTAGTTAGCCTTAGATATGATGTCCATTTATTCCTTGTCTTTGTTTAAGATGCCACATAAGATAGTAGGGAGGATTGGAAGGATGATAAGTAATTTTCTTTTGGAAGGAAGTGAAGAGTGAAGAAAAGATCATTTGATTAGTTGGGACGCAAGTTCTAGAGCGAAGGCTAAAGGAGGTCTTTCAATGGGAAACTCAATGGCAAGTAATGAGGCCTTAGTGGGGAAATTCTTGTTGGACCAAAATTCACTAAGGTACATGGTCATCAAAAGCAAATATGGGTTATGCGCCAATAGATGACATGCTAATGGGGTTGAGAGGACAAGTTTTTGAAACCATAGGCATTTATTTTTCAGGAATTAAAGATAATAATTTTGAGGATCCCTTCATTCTAAGTCCTCCAATAACCCACAAACACACATCTACCAACTATAGGATCCAGCTTATCAATAATGGGTGTGCAAAATGGACACAACCAAGACTTGCGGTGGTAAATCGAATATATGTAGTTGTGAAACAAAACAAAATATCGATTGGAGTCACGAAGAATTGAGGATGCCATATGATTAGTTATAAAACAAGCATGAGAATTAGGTTAATAAAAAGGGCATTGTTCATCGAAGTCCTTGTATTCACACCCCACAACAGAATAGGGTGCAAAGTATAAAATCATCATTTGTGGGAGTGATAGTGTATGCATGTTCCTCAACATTGTTGGAGTGATACTGTATGCATGTTCCTCAACATTGTTGGATTGATGTTGTATTGCTTGTCATCTTATGAATCGGATGCCATCTTCTATTTATATGGGCCATTTTCCAATAAGATCTTTGGATGTGCTTGTTATGTTTATAATTTTGATCTTGACTTTGATAAACTTGATCCCTGTGCTACAAGTGTCTTCCTCAGTAATTCAGGCACTCGTAAACGTTATCGTTGTTAAAATTCCGCACTCATTCACTATTTAGCTAGTACTGTTGTCACTTTTTGTGAGTTCTTACCATATTTCTCGATTACCACCTCTCTTAATCTCGACTTTAGAATGACACCATACTTGACTTCCCCTCCCTTTTTATTACCCTCTGACATTTCACCATTCTTATCTCCTTCTCCATCTTTCATATTATTTTCCTCTATTTCCTATCAAAACAAAGAGAGAAAATTACTATCCTCCGCAGGTCCCTTAAGGTGTACTCTCCATCCGAGGTGAGTCGTTGAGATGCTTCACCATCCTCATTGCCATCTTCTTATCGCTTTGCGTAAAGGTACCTGATCTTGTGTGAATGATTGTGCTATTAGTCATTTTGTTTCTTATGATGTCTTATTTGTTGTCTTCATTTGTTTACCATCTTAGTTCTATAGTATTTTTATTCCTTAGACATTGCAAGGGGCATTATTTCATCTAAGTTGGAGGAAAGCTATGGAGACATAGATGGATGCTTTACATCATAATAGAACTTAGAATATTGTTCCATTACCGAAGAGGGACTATTGGTTGATAGTTGTTTTATACAGTGAAGTTTAACCTTTATGGTTCTGTTGAACATTTAGCAACACAACTAGTTGCTAAGGGGTTTATTTAAACCTATGATATTGATTTTGTGGAGATGTTTATCATGTTGCAAGATTTCCTTGGTCGTTGCTAATCTTGATTGACTTTTGTTTTAGTTGGAAGTTGAAAATGTCTTCTTGTATATGTTAAAAGTAATGTAAAGAGGAAGAGAAGAAATAAAGAGGAAAGAAAGAAAAGAGATACAACTGAAAAGAGGAGAGCATTAGAATTCTCTCCCTCCGTCACTTATATTTATAGCTCAAATATTAAATTGAGAAAAGTACCCTTCATAACAATAAACATAAAAATAAAAGGCTAAATAGCTTCTAAAAGTATAGGGACTTGGCTGGAGAGGTTTACATGGAATAGCCACCTTTGCTTGTTGCATGGTTTGGTAAGGTTAAAGGTTGTTTTATGTTTTCGTCTCACCGGTTATCAAACAAATCACTCAATTAGTCCTTCGACATTTGGGTTCAAGCAATATTATACTTGTAGTATAGGTGGATGATGTAGTATAGGTGGATGATGTGATTATTGGAGATGATTATGAAGGCATTGCTTATTTAAAGGCTTTTCTCCAAAATTGATTTCTTGCCAAGGATATAGGAAAACTTAGGAAATATGCACAACAAGACCAATTGACGTTATAAAGGATCCAAATCACATACTTTTTTGATAGATGTAGGTATTTTGGAGATCCTGGTGGATGTTCCTGGTTGGTTAGAAAATTGCATTGCCCCATTGCTATAGGCTAGATGTTGCATATGGCATAAGTGTTGGGAGTCAGTCAAGGAACTAAATTTTGTTTTGAAATAGTCGAAACGTTTTCGTTTCCATGGAAACTGAAACGAATCATTGATTGAATATCAAAATTCCTATGTTTCGAAGTGTTTTAATAAGTTTCGAGGTTTTTCAGTGAGTTTCAAGGTGTTTCGGTTGGTTTCGAGGTATTTCGACATGTTTCAACTTATATTTCGGTATGTTTTGACCAATGTTGCAGAAATAAATTTTTAAAATTTTCTTTATTTCTATCTTGTTTTCAAAATGTTATTGAAACGTTTCTATTTTCAAGGTGAACGAAACTATATACCAAAACGAAATTTTGATCCTTGGAGTCAGTTGATCGGAACACCTAGACTATCACATTGGGATGTTGTTGTTTGTATTCTTCGATACCCTAAACGAGCTCCAAGACTGTGTGTGGTTGTATCGATCGAATGAACATCTTGTAGAATGCCGACTATGGCTACTCTATTTCTTAGGACGTCATTGGGTTTCTTGGAATAGTAAAACGTAAACTGCAATAGTAGGATTTTTTGTGTATAAGCTAAATATAGGGTACCGACACACCCTATGAGCGGGTTACTATGGCTTAAACACTTTCTTCTAGTTCACCCACTTCCTCAGTTGTTTTGTAATGAAAAGGCAACAGTTAGATAGCTATCGTGTTGTTCAATCTGAATTGATTTACAGTTATCAGTTCATAGGGCATAACTACACCATTTTTGTGAAATCTAAGAATGTGCTTGCCTTTATGTTCACTAGGGCATTGAGTCGTACACTTTGGATAGTTATTTGTTTTTGTTTCATACTTGGATTATATGATATCTGTACTCAAAAGAGGTCACCAAATTATTGTCTTCAATTGCAATGGTGTGTGATGTGTAGAGGCGATAATGAGAGTGTGGATCATTTATTTTTGTATTGAATTACGGAGCAAGTTTTTTGACCTTATGGGCCGTGCTTGGGTTGCTCTAAGGAATATGAATTCTATGTTTTGTTTGAATGATGTGAGTGTGGGAGAAATACAAAATGGAAGACTATTTGGCACAACGCTTTCTTTGTTACGTTATGAGTAATTTGGAAGGAATGGAATATGAGGATTTTTCAAGATAAATGTGAAGATTTTGAGGGGATTTGGGAAAGATTATATGTTTTGACTACTTTTTGGACTTCATTTTTTGAAGAGTTCCCAAGATATTCCTCTGTTTTGTATTAGAACAAGCAAAAAAATATTTTGTGGCTTGTATTTTTGATTGCTCTTTTTCCTTTTTTAAGGTTCTTATTGGCGAGTCTTGTGTTAGACCTCTTGTCCACACTTAATGTGGTTTTTTTGTAATGTTTCCCTTTATTATTAATAAAGTGTTGTTTCCCATCAAAAAAATAGTTTGGGAGAGTGTTGAGCAATACACTATTTTTATTTTTGCAATATGTATACCATTCTAGGGTATATGAGTCCTTTTGTTTATGTTGATACATAGGTACAAGTTGACAGTGAGACGTAGGTTCAATAATTTCTATACCCACCTCTCAAATTTTTTTCCACAAAATTTCTCTACATTCTAAAACTCTAAATGTTACAACCAGGAGTGGACCCTAAACTTTACAACTAACAATAGATAGATGTTTGAGTTTTTTTTTTGATAGAAAACAAAACATATTGCATTAAAATAAAAACTGAATTACATGAAAGGCGATTGGTTAAGAAATCCAACCACAAAATAGCAAAAATACAATTGAAGGAAAAAACATAAAAAGTCTATAAATCACATAAAGCTCTTCATCCCGATAAAATATCCAAGAGTGGGATTCCTTTGAAATCTTTAGAAATCGAAGCCCAAAATGAAGAAATAAACCCATAATCCATCCAAACACTCAAACCGATCTTCAAAGATTTTTGCATTCCTCTCTTTCCATATAACTCAAAAAGTTGCCATGATTGCACAATTCTAAAGAGTGACACCCTTATCAAGAGACCCAAGTCCTTTTTTGAACTAAATGAGTATGCTCATCCCTGGTTAGAGTCACATCAAGGCTTAAAATTTTGTTTCAAAACGGTCGAAACAATCGAAACGTTTCCGTTTCCAAGGAGACTGAAACGAATCAGTGATGAAATTAAAATTCTAATTTCAAGGTGTTCTATAATGTTTTGAGATGTTTCGACGTTTTTACACAATTGTTTCGAAATGTTTCAAGGTTTCAAAATATTTTAGTATATTTCGACCAATATTTTGGAAAGATAATTCTCAATTTTTTTATACATTTTCATTCTGTTTTCGAAACTGGCTAAACTAATTTTGAAACGGGTCGAAAATTTTTATTTCCTTAGTGACCGAAATAATGCACCGAAACAAAATTTTGATTCTTGAGTCACATGACTGAATCAGATGTAGCCACATCAAAATTTGCATGATCGCATATGAATATAAGCCTGATTGATTCTCCCGTGGCTTGCCATGCAAGATTATAGCATTTATTATCTGTATGATTTTCACAACCACAAAATGCCATGAACTTTGCCATGGTCATAGGATGTTGTACTCAAAATCCATTAGTGAAACTACCTTGGTTATCATGAAAAGCACCTTGAGTACTAAGAACACGACCTCTAAAGAACTATGGTGAGTAGCAAGACCAATCAATGTAGAATTATCTTTGCCCTGTTGGGTCAAGATGAATCTGAATTGGGCGAGATACGAAGGAGATGAGGATACCCCTTACTAAGCTGAAATATAATTCTGAAAGGAGCTTCGAAATCTAAGGCTATGTTTAGTTTGTGATCCGGAAACAGTTTTTTATTCTCAAAATTTCAATAACACCCAAAACATGTTTGTTTAGCATTTTTGTTCTCTAAATTTTCGGAAAAAATGAGATTTGAGTCAAAAAAATAGAAAACAAGTGTAACTTGTTTTCAGAGTTTTCTTTGAAAATTTTCGAAACAAGGAGAACAATATTGGATGTTCAAATATGAGTATATATATATACATATTATATATATAATATATATCTTATATATAAACATATTTATATATATAATATATGTATATATATATATATAAACATATTTATATATAAGATTTATATATATATAATAATATATATATTATGAAATTGTCAATATAAAAATAACTTTTTTATATTTTCTTATTAATGTTTGAATTACTGTTCAAATATATATTTACGCTGTCCAAACAGGTTTTACTATTTTCTGTATTGTAAAATTGTTTTTGAAATCATCTAACCAAACAAGTTTTTTATTTCAAAAAATATCAAAATCATTTTCTTAAAACTCATATCAAAAACTGTTTTCAGATACTATTTTTGAAACTCAAACCAAACAGGCCCTAAAATTCTTCCTCCTTTTCCCTGAAATATTGGTGTCATTCATAAGGGTATGATAGTGGTTTAACTCATCTAGAACTTAAATAAGCTGAAGTATTGAAAATAATTTTCCTTCTTGTTTAAGAAGGAAGACGCTTTCATTCAAGTCATAAACTCGGGAAACATTAGAGCCATACACTTGAGAAAAATTTGTCTCCATTGCGTATATCACATGAACTGTCTCCCAAGTCTTCTTGACACCATCTAAGAACAACACATTAGAACTAACTGATGCTTCCATACTATACATAGCAATGAGATAACCTCACAATTTTCAGAATCCCATTCATCGTATTCTTTACAGTGTTTCAAGGGACGACCATGCAATTCAAACTTCAATTTCTTTCTGGCATTCCTCAGCGTTACTCTCACTGTTTGTGCCCACAAATAATTGTGTCCATTCAATTTCATTTAAGTAAGCTACTTAGTGACTGAATCCAAGACACTTCGTGGCTTATTGCCCTGGTTATACATGATTGCCTTTTTAATGAGGCTTTTGGTATCGACCTACCTGGTCTTCCAGTCCCAACACCTACAAGAACCCGTTAAGGGAGGCCTGTTAGGTAAGGGGGGTGTGGACTGTTCAATTCATTCAAGGAAACTGTTTGTCCTTCATAGTTTACCCATTGATGCGACAGCGATAGACTCGGATTCACAGACTATCCTCCCCCAAGTGCACCAAGCGTCAACAATAGAAACAACACCAACACTTTTCAATACACATCAAAGTAAAGAAAAAATAGGGTTATGGGCACTTCAAAACTGCAAACAAGTATAAAATCAGTGCATGCCAATAAGCACCATCTCTATACAGAGTTCAATGCACCCAGCCCTCTGGACAGTGAACAGTACCAAGTATCTGATGAACATTACCTGTGAACAGTCCCTTACTGACAATGAACGGTGTCTGTTTGGCTCAACCTCCTTCAGGTTTTGCTTCAATTCTCGGACTTCATTAGTGACTGATTTGACCTTTATTTGACTGTTTTGTGAGAAAGCAAGAAGAAAAAAAAACCCTAATGCTCTGAAACATAGAAATAGGAGAGAGAGAATGAATTTTGGAACATTAAGAGGACAACCCTAATGAGGGCTGCTACTCATATTTTTATTGCAAAACTATTGGCATTACCTAATGCTGAGATAGTATTTTAAGCTAACACCGCAACTTAAATAACTGACATTACCTTTTGGTTGAAACTTTAGCAAATGTGCTATTAAAGTTTAAAACCTAAAACCTGAAAGCTAGTATTTACTTATCAAATAAAAGAAAACCTCCGATCAAGTACGTGTATATTTCTTTGTTCGAGTTTTATGAGGTCTGGTGCTTAGTTATGTATTTCTTCTGAAAGGTTTTTAGATTGTTGACAGATTGTTTTTTGTTCATGCTTGCCTCTTTCACTGCCTTTTGAATGATTCTCACATCAGGTGATCGACGTCGGCTCTTGTTACGTGGGCTTACTCAATCTTTGCCTGATATTTTTCCATTGCTATACACTGTAAGTTGTAGTTATGGCCATCAGTATAAGTTACATGTTTGCATTATTGTGATGCCTTTTTATAATTCAGTTATTAGAGAGGCATTTTGGAGCTGCAATGAGTGAAGCAGGTAGGCAACAACTAGACATTGCAAAACAGCATGCAGCAACAGTTACAGCCACCCTTAATGCGGTTAATGCATATGCTGAGTGGGCACCATTATCTGATCTTTCAAAATATGGAATAATCCATGGGTATGATTTCCCTAGCTTTCCTATGCGTAGGCTGGTGTAAATTTTTTGGTATGGAGAATTTTATTCTCTCTCTTTCTCTCTCTCCCTCAATAGCTGTGGTGTCTTACTCTCTTCGCCCGATTTCCGCCTTCATGCATGTGAGTTTTTCAAACTTGTCTCCCCAAGGTACGTGACCAATTTATTTTTACTGATTCATCTGTTGTTGTTGAGCAAAAGATTTTTACGACGAATATTCTTATTGTGGACTGTGGCTTGCAGGAAGAGACCTCTTGATGCAGCATCTGAATTTGATTCTGCAATACATAGTATCTTTAAGATCTTGATGAGTGTCTCTAGAGATTTCTTGTACAGATTTAGCTACGGTGCTGGTGTTGTCGATGAGAGTGAATTTGAGTTTGGGGAGTATATATGTGAGAGTATGGTGTCTTTGGGCATTTCAAACTTGCAATGTTTGGCTGGTGATAGCACGCTGCTTTCTTTTTATTTGCAACAGGTGATTGATTGATCTTCAGCTTTACATATAAAGTAATTAAGATATATTGCTTGTTGTCATCTTTTTCCCAACTCTTAGATTGATCTAGCTAGCCATTTATCAAGTTAGAAATCCAGACTCCCGAATACACTGTTATAGTGATTTGAAAAAATAACTACTTTCGAAGGTTACGTGTCTCGTTAGGATTTCTAATGTATATAGTGGCATATTATGTGAGAAGTTGGCCCATGGAGTGGTTTTGGAGCCTCGGTGCTACAGAGACTTCTTCAATTGGGAGTTGTAACAAACAGTTCCTTCTTAGAGATTTAGACTTGTTATATGGAGCTCAGACCTAGTCTAGAATGATGGAGAAATGGAGATGGGAGCTATCTAACAATGGCATCTTTGAGGGTGTTTAAGCCTTTTTATAGCGTTTTGGTGGGGATGGTTTTGTTACATCCTTTTGGTGAAGGGCAATGAAATGTGAAGCACTCCATTTTTTTCCACATGGATGGTGGATTTGGATGGTTTTGTCACGTTTAATAATTGTGGGTAAAGGGGTAAAATCTTCCCAACTTGGAGTATCATGTGTACAAAAATGGAAGAATCCATCAATTGCCACCCTTGTTATCTCGATAGCGGGGATATTTCGATCAAGTATCAAAATTTCATTTCGTTTTTACTTGTATCGCTCAAGAGAAATGACATAGATAAGATCATTATTTAAAGAGTTTCATTGTCGAATTGATTTTGGAATTGGATCCCAATAGTAGCTGCTACCTGAAGGTTCTTTATGAAAGCCGGTCCATAGCAGTGAAAGTAGGATTGATTCCGTTGATCGAATGAAAATCGCTTCTTGCTTTTTTTTGCCTAGATGCTTGACTATTCTTGCTTGCTTAACATAAGTTTTATTTGACCTTCATAGACCACTTCACTTTCAGCAATCTTTAACTTGAAAACAAGAAGCAACGGATTGAGCTGTGCAAACGTAAGGCATCCGTTTTCTTGCAGGGCCTTTAGGCTTGACTAATATAATCAGATAGGATTTTTCTCGCTTATTTGAAATTATATAAGACTTTCTTCAATTGGCGAGTGATGGATCGAAAGTTTGATAGGTCTTTAAGAGATAGGGTCTCCGGCTGAAGAAAGAGTCACTCAGTAAATCGGTGGATTACACACTTAGAGACAGGGAGAGGGGCATGCCTTACTCTTTAGAAATTATACAAGTGTTGAAAGAGTGAAGTATGGGACCATGGTAAACATGAGGAATGGGACCTCTAAAATGCCCTACTAAAGAAGTTTGCAAGCAAGAGGGACATGTTGAACACTATGTTTCCAACTAAGTCTAAGGCAAGGACCTTTAAGTGACGATGCGTTCCATTGTCAGCAAGCGGTGGTCGACAAGACCTTTTTTCCTAAATATTTTGGGAGGTGAAGAGGATAGGTTTGAAACCCGTACTATAATGTTCTCTCGAAGGTAGGCATTTACCCAAAACACTGATCTTCTGAGTCTTTCAATTACACGTGTTTTAGGAAGTTGAATGTATCAATTTTGGTGAAAATCAAAATGAATCGATGATTGAATATTGCAATTCTTAAGCAGTATTTAGAATGTTTTGGAACGTTTTGAGATGTTTTGGCCAATATTTCCAATATATATTCGGAATTTTTGCTATGTTATCATTTTATTTCCGTAACATTTCTAAAATGTTTTCCTTTTTGAGCTAATCAATACTATGCACTGAAACCAAATTTTGATATTTGGTTAGGATGCTTGTTTCTCTTTGTTTGGTGTTTCATGATTCTACTCAAAAGGATGGTGGACCTGTTTTAGTGCTGGAGGAAAGTTTGGGATAAAGGTGTGGCTTGAAGGTTGGGTAATGTCCACCCTTTGTGTATGGTGGAGCTTTTGGTTGGAGAGGGATTGGTGGTACTCCGACTGAGAAGAGGCATTGGTTTTGGACCTAACATGAGCTTTCTTAGGCTTCTATTTTATTAGCACTTGGGGAGCTCTTTTCACTTTGGATGGTTTTGCTTACTATTTGAGAAGCTTGGGGGATTAGTTTTTTTGTAGTCTTTTGATGTTTTGAGCTCCCTTGGTATTGCGTATTGTTATTGTGTTCCTTTCACTTTTTTGCTTCTCTCTATGTACCTATTTGTTGCCCCCTTGGCGTCATTAGCGCTACTTTATTTAAAAAAGGGAAGCCCAATAATGAGGTTTCCACAATTGTGGGGTGGGGAAGGGTCACATGTATGCAATCTTACCCTAAGTATCGAGAGACTGTTTGCATTACTTGAACCAGTGGTTTCTGGGTCACAATAGAGTAACCTTGCACAATTGCTACTTTATTTATATCTATCAAAAAAAATTGTTATTCTTTGTAATGGTTGCTTGATATCGAGGTAGGAGTACCAATGGAGCTAACACAAGTATACATGGTTCTTTTTTGACAGATAGATTACCATGAGTCTCAACAAGCAGTTTCGTAGATCTTTCTTGATTGATAAGAAGGGCGGGAAACATTCATTAACAAGGGAATCAAAATTGAAGAACAAATGAGTAGGGGAGATTTTCCCACCTTAAGACCGTTGAATATCTCTTGATATTTAATAATTAATTGCCACAAAAGCCAGATATCACACTTTACAGATGAAGAATTTAATAGAGCATTGATACAGATTAGAAGAGTTGATGCGGGAAATCCTACTTGTCTGATTGAGGACTGTTGCTTGGTCCGTTCTTGACCTAACCGGCCCTTTGAATGACCAATGGCAGGAGAGAAAGTTTTGATAGATTAGGATCGATCTCCCCTGCAAACTATCCCTTCTTTCAAGATCAGGTCAAGGTTTTTATTCCAATAGAACTCCCATCGCTCTATTTCTTCTTCCTCTTCAAGCTTATCTTTCTTTTCTTGATTGAAGAAGAGCTTCAATTCCTTACACTCTCGCCACAGATTCTACTGACAGTTCAGTCACTACTAAAATAGAATTAACTAAGAATTCAATTGATTTGACTTCTTTCAATGAGAGTTTCCACTTTCCCATTAGAAGGGATTGGCGCCTACCATAAACTCCCACTAATGAACTTCTTTTACCTTTACAAAACCAAGAAAGTAAGTGAGAGGAAGTGGAGTTTTCATTATACTGGATGGAGAATCGATAGATCTCTTCCCTATTATCGACAGATAGACTTATACTTCTTTTCTTCTTCCTGTTGAAAGTTCTCTCTTCATTGATTGATTTCATTCCCACTGAGAGAACTAAAAGAGAGAAGGTACCCTCTACTTAAAAGGAAATACTGAAAGAGATAGTGAATTGAAGGCTCAAAAGGTTTAATAATTGTTACTTATCAACCGGCAGACTCGCTATCAGCAACTACAACTTACAAGACGAGAGCTAAGCTCTTCGGCCGCCAACCAATCCAATATGTCATTGCTATCCCTTCCTGATGAAACTTCCTTTGCTTTGAATGAATGATGAACAAAGGCGCATGCAAGAGAAAAGAAAGCCCCTATTTGGGCATGATGCCTAGTACATTGATCTATCAGAGACCTGAAACTCAAGTTTTTGGCTATTGAAAACTCAAATCATAGAGATGAACAAAGCCATATAGCTTCTCAGTAAAAGAGGAACTCACCTTTGCCAGCCGGCTTGTACTGCTAAAGGATTATGGAGATGAATGCCCGCAAATCGAGGTTGAGCTGGTGGCCAATGAGAATTATACTTTGGTAACCAAACTTGTGAAAGGGAGGGAAAAGCACCAACAAGCAATTTTTAGAGACTTTTGACTGGTGAACTACTTCCTATTTGATTGCTTTAATAAAAATCCTCTTACTAAATCCAAACGGCTAATGTTGGATAGACCCTTGCTACAGATAAGAAGAATGCATACTGACTGAAAAGAAAGGAAACAATAGAGTACAACAAATTCACCCGAAGAGCTGCTATAGAAGAGAAAAAGCTACTCTATTATACTGACTTTAGTTATTAGCCTTCCAAATATAACATTTAGTTATTGTTTACTCCAGTTTACAAGGTGGAGCAAGCATTCCTGGCAGTTGGAAGAAAGTTGTAATGATGTAACTAATGTATGTATTGCTTCTCTTGGAATAAATCATGCAGATTGTCTAGTCTTTAACTGAAAAATAGGGGCCAATGACAATCTAGCTAGCAGGCCAGGCGTGTTGTGACCATGGGGGAAATGAACCTTCTAACTGGCAAGCCAGGAAGGCAGTATCAAGATCTAACTATGTTCTCCATTTTTTAAAATCCTGGTGTTATCATGTATATTATTACGTAACCCATTGTAAATGTTTGCTAGTTCAGATTGTTATGGATTCTTGTAAATTGTAAACGAGTTGTCCGCTTTGTGCTCAGGCTGTGTTATCTGTTTCTTCCTCTGAATGATGGCGTGAAATTAAATTAAGCAGTTGCAATCTAATCTTGTAATATCTTTTCAGATGCTGGGATTTTTCCAACACTTCAAGCTGGCACTTCATTACCAATCTCTATTATTTTGGCTGGTATGTGGAAGCTTCTTGCAAATTACTTCTTATAGGTATTCAATAAAGTCTGCCTACCTCCTACATTTCTTCAATCATCTGTCATGTTTGCTTCCTATGGTAGGCACTTATGCGAGATTTATTGTCCAAGCCGAAGACTGTTCCACATGCAGCTGGAGACAGTTCTGTAAACCATCTAAGCTCTAGTTCAGGAGAGGTTGATAATGAAAAGAAAAAGATTTTAAGTTTTGTGAATGATGATATCTGTAGTGCTATATTGGATATATCTTTCCAACGGATGGTCAGGAAAGAAAAAGTTCATCCTGGAACTGTGCTTCCTGTTGGGATGTTGGAATTATGGAGTGATGATTTTGAGGGCAAAGGAGATTTCAGCCAGTATCGCTCAAGGCTGGTACACTACATGTTTGTGCTTTTTTTTAACCAATCCATATTCTTATCTGTTAATTGTTCACAAAAAGTCATGCATGGTTTTCTTAAAATTTTTTACTAGAGCTTTTCAAAGTCTAAAATGATTTACATTTTTTCCCGCATCCTAGTCTTTAGTCAATTCTCAATTCGCATATTCTGCTAGTAATTTTGTTCTCTGGTGCTTTACTTTTCCTATACTCGTGGTTGACAATATTCTTTATGAACAAAGTTGCTCTATGGCATGCATATGAATTTTTTTTTTTTGAGTTTTCGTTTCATCACTTTTGCACGTTTAATGGACACTGGTGATTTATTGCTTGCCCTTTTTCATTGGTTCTTTGAAGAAATATGGCTTGGATGGGGCAACAAACACCAACTTTATTTAGACCTGTTATGAAAACTTACATAAATTTGCAAAGAAGAAAATACATACGAAGAAGAGGAAGAGAGAAAAGAAGACTGCTTCACCAAGATTCCAGTAATAATAACTAGGTACAAAAGATACTATATATAAAACCTTACCACAAGAGAAAGACTAGAATACCTCTAATAGTAAATAAACATAAATATAAATACAATTTCAACAACCCCCTCAAACTCATGATGTTACAGTAGGAAGCAACGAGAGTTTGTCAAGAAGAAAATGAAAACACAACATAGTGTGTGACTTCATGAAAAAATCAACCAATTGAATAGTAGAAGAAACAAAAGGTAAGGAAATAGGCTCAAGTTAAAGATGGTGGAGCATAAAATGACAATTGATCTCGATATATTTGGTCCGCTCATAGAAAACAAAATTGTGTGCAATCTGAATGACAATCTTATTGTCACAATATATTGAAGTTGGAGCAGAAAATGAAATGCCTAGATCGGCAAGTAATCATCTCAACCATACTATCTTTGACGTAATGGTAGCCACAATACGATATTCAGCCTCGACGGTGGAATGAGAGTCAACGTTCTGTTCTTACTTCTCCAAGAGAGTAGGGAATTACCCAGAAAGACACAAAATCAGTTGTGGATTTATGATCCGGCCTTATATCTTTTGACCGAATCATCAACCTTAGTTTTAATGTTGTATACCCACCGACAACCAACGATACACTCTTACCGGTTGGTAAAGACACAAGAATCCATGTCCTAGTTTTATGCAATACAGAAAGTTCTTCATTCATAGTTTGTTACCAAATAGGATCAAGTGTAACCTCTTTATAGGATGTAGGTTCAGACAAAGAGTGAATAGAAGATAAAAATGAACAAAAATCAGAGAATGAACAAAAATCAGAGGAATAACAAATTTGAGGAAAACCAAGGCGATCAAGACACTTGTGTGGAGACATAACCGAAAGAGTTGGAGGCGTTGTACTTGCAGAGGAGTTAGTCTTGTTCCTAAAAAAAAATAAGTGTGGATAATCGGCGGGGGTGCAATTGAGGCGAACAATGAATGTTTGAAGTGAGCATGTCATGAATATAAGAACCACTTGAAATATCATTTGGGAAAAAGGATCAATATAAATTTAGCTAAATTTATTAAATATCTTAGAAGTGGAAGGAATGCAACAGAAAAGAATATGCTCAAGGAAAAACCATATATGCCTTACATACATACAATCTTTTTTGCAACAGGGTCATAAACAGTCATACTTTTTTGTCTCTCACCATAACCAAGAGAGATAATAGAATGAGTAGATAACTTATTTTGTTCAGATTTAGGAAGAAAAATAAAACAAGTACAACTGAACACACGCAATGAAAGTAGTCATGAGGTTTACCTTGTCCCTTTTCAAAAGGGGGAAACACTTGAAGTAATACTAGAATGAATTCAATTAATGAGATGAACAACTTTGGGAACTCTCTCCCCCAAAGAGCTAAGGACAGATGTCAATAAAAGCAATGAACAAGATGTCTCCATAATGTGTTTGTGCTTTTGCTCTATTCTGCTCAGAAGTGTTTACACAAGAAGACTGCCGAGTTTCATAAATCAAGAAAATTAGTATATCTGTATTCCCCACCTAAATCACATCGAAAATATCTAATTATTGTAGAATATTGTGTGTGAATTATGGAACAAAAAATAACAAAGATACAGAAAAATTTAAATCACTACTTCATGAGATAAATCTAACAATATTGAGTATAATCATTAACAAAAGAAATATAGTATTGAGAACCCTCTTTGGTGGGAATGCTGGTTGGCAATGGGGGCAAGACACCACACATCAGAATGCACAATCGAATGGTGTAGAAGAAGTGACACTATTCTTAAAAGGTAAAGTTGTGAATTTAATAAGTTTACAGCCACTACAATTAGAAATATCATGACTACTAAATTTTTTACAGCTAGAAACCTCAAATGAAAATTAGAAACATGTCCAAGACGAAAATGCTATAAATAAAACACAAAAGACTTATGGTTCAAACGAAAAGAAGGCAAATCAATAGAAGTAGCAGTCACAACTAGAAAATGCAATTTTTTTCGCACATATAATCCTTCAACCCTATGGCCTGTCCTAATCAGCTTCTTAGAATGAGGATTCTGCACAATACAACCAATGGAGGAAAATTGAACAATGTGATGTACCCAAGTTCAAAAAGTTGACTGATTGAAATCAAATTTAGAGATAATTGAGGGATATAGTAAACATCAGAAAGAGACAGAAGTAAAGTTATAACAGATCCAACCCCTACCACTGACATGAAAGTCCGATTGGCAGTTAGAACAGTTGTAGAGTAAGATATACCTAAAGGTGTCGATAAAGAAAAACATATAGGTGATGAAACAGATACAACATTACTTCCATTTTCCATAGTACAAGTTCTGAAAACTCTTCCTTCCACAACTTTTGCTTCAATACGGAATCGTAATTTTTCAAAACCTTAATCGTGAATAGAAGTAAAAGTAGGCGGAATCTGCAAATCTGCACTGTTCTGGAGTAGAATCTGCATTTTTTATACTTTTATGGGATAGAATCTGTTATGCAATTTGTCGGACTGATTTTTGAAATTTCTATAGCTTCTAAAGATTTATGGCCTTCTCTATAATTTTAGATACTTTAAAAAAAAATAACACAACAGCAACTACAAGCCTTCTTCAATTTACAGATTAACGCCTAGCATCCATATAGTAGTCAAACCACACAAACACAAAAGGGCCGTGTATAGGGGAGGAGAAACTATTCAAGTCAAACCACGCAAACACAAAAGAGCTGTGTATAGGGGATGAGAAACTATTCAAGTCATTGTTCACGACACTGATTGCGCACTGTTATTACATTGTTCATGTTATTGTTCATACTGTAGTGATTGCAAATCCAAAGAACTACTAATGAGATTTGGCTCTGATACCATTAAAACTTACATAAACTTGCAAAGAAGAAAATACATACAAAAAAGAGTAAGAGATAAAAGAAGAATGCTACACCAAGATTCCATTAATAATAATAACTAGGTACAAGAGACACTCTATATAAAACCCTTACCCCTAATAGTAAATAAGCATAAATATAATACCATCTTAACAATTGTCAATTGACACATTGTCAAAATGTCCTTAGAACAATTGAAAATTTGTGAAACATGACGACTTCTTTTTAGCAAAATGAAGAATATATGTCAGCTTCAGTGTAAGGCAAATATGTGAAAGACATTTAATTGGTGTGGAGAGGTATAAAGGTTGTCAAATCTTCTTTCTGAATTAGTGCAATCTTGGTAATCAACTCAAACCCCTATCTTTCAATTGCGATATATTTTCTTGGTTTCTCAAATTTAATTTGCTTTCATATGTTAGGATATTGCATTCTATTATTCGTTAAGTGTGAAATTTTTGAAGATAATGTCTATAAAATTAATGTAGGATGGATTAATGGAGAAATGTATTGAGTGTATTGTGTGATGGATGCATACCCCTTAAATTAAAAGAAAAGTTCTATAGAATGACCATAAGACCCTATGAAGCACGGACACTCTCGAAAACGTGACGTATCCATGTTAGACACGTGTTGGACACAACATTTGTCGGACATTTTTGGACACGTGTCCGATACTCTTTTATCCGTGTCCATAATTAAATGATAAATTTTTAATTTCGGACACGTGTTGGACACTTATTTGGTGACATGTCCTACACTTCTTTTCAACGTGTCTACTACTAAACAATAGACATTTGTTGAAAAGTGATTAACAAAAATTAAAAATTTGAGAACATATAATTACTAATACTAGACATATTAAAGCTGTACCCTAAATATAATAATAAAAATAAAAGATGCATAAAATTTTTAAAAAAGAGGAATTGAGAAAATGAGAGCAATTATTTAAATTATATATTAGGTACACATTGTCTATAAAAAAATTGATAATTATTGACTATAATGAGAATGTTTTAGTCTAAAAATTCACACAGATGACTAGATATTAGGTTTTCTTACCATAAAATACTGATATTTTTATGAATTGTATATCATTATCACTATATTTGCAATAAATTATATAATGTTATATATAAAATATAATTTTTTTTAGTATCCCCACGTGTCCGTGCCCTATTTTTTTGAGAAATGTCGTGTCAGCATGTCCGTGTCGTATCATATCCGTGTCCATGCTTCTTAGATAAGACCAATCGTACTTTATGATACCAACTGTTGGACAACTCCGAAACATGTTAAAAAATCGAGTGAAATGAGAATATTATGGTATGGATGTTTAGTAAAACTAGGAAGGATAGAAATAGGAATAAATATATCCGTGAAAAAGTAAAGGTAACACACTGGAGATAATTTAAGGGAGAATCGATGTCGGTGATTTGGACATATTTTTAGATAGCCTACTATGACACCGGTGAGGAAGAATGATATGATAGCTATTAACGATAAATGTAGGGATAGAAGAAGACCAAAATTAACTTTGAATGGAATAGTATGAGAGATATGATGTCTTATGATTTAACAAAAAGCATGACCATTCATAGAACACAATAGCAAAACAAGATTCATGTAGCCAACTCTAAAAGTTGGGACTAGACTTTATTGAGTTGAGTTGTAGGTCAGAATATTGCATATTTTGCAGTTGGATGTGTTACATCCGTGTAATGTTTAGCGTAGATTTGGTCTTTCAAGTACGCCAACTTTTTAAATGCATCCTTCAAACATATTATCCACGGTAACTTAGGTGCTATTATATTATTATGTTTAGGTAATTTCAGGGATAATTGATGTTGTAATTTTTATGACAATTAGCCTAATCAAATTTCTGACACTTTTAATTTACATTAGTGTTGAAGATATTAGCTCCAAAAAATGCATGGGGACTTATTCCCTCTTTTGGAGAGTTTTCTTGTAAATTGTTGTTTGATTTAATGATTGATCATCCTGGTGTACTACATTTTGAT